ATATATATATATATATTTATACACGTTTCATTAAATAATATAGACAAGTGTTGTCTATTTATTTTATGTAAAATTTTTTCGTATCTTCTGATAAGTTTGGTAACATTATCATTTACCGAAAAAAGAAATTCACAATATTTATCCATTATTTTTTAATAAAATCTAAGCTTTCGGCTTACTCAAGCCATTATCAAAGATGTAAATACAAACATATCAAACAATATATGGACACGACAGTGATGATATAGTCTGTCATTGTTATGTTTACATAGTGGATCACTAAGCAAACGATGAAACGCAAGATATAAGACGCTAGAAGTTTAAAATCGCGACGCATCTCATGACGTCACACATGACTACACGAGTGAATTGAGAATGAAATAAGGAAAGCCGTTGGTATAACCAATGGCTTCTGTTACCTAATTATTGAAATTATAGACATTTAAGAATATTTGTAGAGATTCCATAGTTGATTTTGTTTAGGTTGGGTTTTAACTGTTTGATGTATAATGCTTCAAGTATTTTTAGTTTTTGTCTATTGTTTTCATGTCGAAGTATAGTTGTGTTAAATAATATTTATGTTGGTCACACCACAAACTCGCTTTCACGACGCTTGACACTACATCTTAATGAAAACTCTAACATTTTTAGGCATTTAAAAAACATGCCTGCCCACACACACAATTCCGTAAAATACTTGTCGAAAACACAACTATACTTCACATGAAAACAATAGACAAAAACTAAAAATACTTGAAGCATTATACATCAAACAGTTAAAACCCAACCTAAACAAAATCAACTATGGAATCTCTACAAATATTCTTAAATGTCTATAATTTCAATAATTGGTAACAGAAGCCATTGGTTATACCAACGGCTTTCCTTATTTCATTCTCCAATTCACTCGTGTAGTCATGTGTGACATCATGAGATGCGGTGCGATTTTCGCTTCTAGCGTCTTATATGCGCGTGTTCATCGTTGCTTAGTGATCCACTATGTAAACATAACAATGACAGACTATATCATCACTGTCGTGTCCATATATTGTTTGATATGTTTGTATTTACATCTTTGATAATGGCTTGAGTAAGTCGAAAGCTTAGATTTTATTAAAAAATAATGGATAAATATTGTGAATTTCTTTTTTTCGGTAAATGATAATGTTACCAAACTTATCAGAAGATACGAAAAATTTTACATGAAATAAATAGACAACACTTGTCTATATTATTTAATGAAACGTGTATAAATGAAAATATGCTGCCTAAATACACACAATATATATATATATATGTATGTATGTATGTATGTATGTATGTTCCATGTGAAGAATAATATATCACAACAAAGCAGAGTGTAAGGAGAAACAAAAAGGATGGATCTTACATATAATATGGAGATATTCCTGTGTCTGGAGAAGCCATATTTAGAACTTCAGATTCAAACAGGCTGGATTCATCTATATTCCTGGTGATGTCATATTCCAAACACAGGGAAACAGTGAGTCTTGGGTTTACCCAAATTGTGCACTGTTGGAGTTTTATTTATATCTGGGAAAGATATGTTCCCAAAGGGACATGGCACCATGAACTTGTAAGCTGCTGGAGGAGGCAGATTTTTCCTCAGAAAAGAAAAAGAAAAGAAAGAAAACAACTTTATGGAAAAAAGAAAGCAACCTTACAGTTTAGCTGTTGTAAATGAACTGAATTTGACAGCTGCTATAGTCACTCTATGGTGTAACATCATTAAGCAGCTGTCATGTGACCCATATAACTTATTCCCACCAAAGGGAGATAAGCACTTTCTGTATCCTTACAATATACAGGGTGTGATGAATAAATTGTCATTTAAATTATGCAAAAATGAAAATAACACTGACATCTCATTTTAATAGATATAGTTACTAAAGAGTAAATTTATTCAATAAAATCGCCATTGGCTTCAACCACAGCTCCAGACGGCTTTGGAATCCCCTGCACCTCTTCTGGACTGTCTCCTTGTTTAATTTGATGAATGCTGCCATAATCCTTGCCGTCAGTTCATCTTTGGTGTTACACGGAGTTTTGTTGATCTCTCATTCAACTGTGCCATCACACATAATAATCAAGGGGGTTGGAGCTTGGGGTGTTAGGTGGCCAGATGTAAAGGGTGATGTGGTCACAGGAATTGTCTGACAGCCTTGACTAGGTTCTCTGACTTATGTGGTATGGTGTAGACTCTTGTTACCCGATATAGGGTCTTCTAACACCCACTCTCTTAACTCAGGGCAGCACTACATCCTCAAGGCACTTGATGTAGGCCTCTGTGTTGAGTATGAGACTCTCACCAACAAATTCAGTTCTTTTCTCATCAGAATGATCAAAGTGAGGTTTCCAAGCTGCTGTACCTTTGTAATCACCATTAGACTCATCCAACTCATTATGAATCCTCTGTACTGTCCTCAGATTGACATCCAAACACTCCAAAATATTTGTATTTTAGCTTCTGGCACATATACCAAGCAGTACAGCATGCAGTTTCCAAATTTCTGGCAGAGTGAGTTGCATCATGGTGGTGTTTTTCTCACAGACGGTGCTCAACTGACCATACCATACCATACCATACCATACTGTGCTGTGGACAAAATTAAAAACAAACATTTATGCACAAAATTAAAAAAATAAAATGGCGACAATTTACCCATTGTATCCTCTGTGTGTGTGTGTGTGTATATATATATATATATATATATATATATATGAAGAATAAGCTTAAGCTATATGATGCCTCTTCTCTCTTATACACACACACACACACACACACACACACACACACACACACATAATCTCACTTTTAAACTGAATCGCTCCAAAATTAAAGACAGTTATTTAATAATGTATAGCTTATCCCATTACTTGAATAACAGCAGCAATGCAACATGGCATGGTGATTATGCCTGTAATTGATTATGGTTTACTGGATGTGGCCACAGGGAATTTAACAATATGTTCAACTAGGTTTCAATCTAGAGAGCATGAAAGTCAGTTGAGTGTTTTTTTTTTTTTTTTTGTTTTTTTTACCAATATTCACACGATACAAGGCTTAGGAGCCACTCAAGGTAGAGGGTTTACTCAATGAGTTTGTATGAACATAAATAAAGTAGGTATAAATTATGAAGATGTATAAGATAGATAATGGTTGGCCCTACACTTGAAGCAATTAAAGAAGCATCCTCTCAGAGGGTCTATTCCACAAAGTAGCAGTTCTCAAGGAGAATCTGTATGAGTGGAACCTTCTTATCAGTGGAATATGAAGGAAATGAGTATGATTTGATCTTGTGTATATGGCATGATGACTTTTTAACTATAAAAGTTTGAACTAGTGGAACTAATAAATGTGGCTCATCTGAACATTTGCCATGGAAACAGCAAAAGTATAGAGATAGGCTTGCAGTGTTTCCTGCTCAGGAAGGTTGTGTACAATTGAAAATAGTTCATCTCCCACAAGGCCACATAGACTCTTCTGAATGTCTTCAAACAGTTTCATTTCACCAAGATATGATTGGGTAGGAAATCCAAGTATATGGCATACATAAAAAGAGATTCAAATAGCTTGTAAACAAGATTTGTGGATATGACACCTATTGAGATAGTCCAGTTTCACCATTGATCCTTTCAAGCTTCAGTAGAACCTAACCTACACCATTACAGCATAACAATTAGCTTGCACAAGACCCTGATAACAGGCTAGAGCCATAGCTCATATGGTCTTCTCCATGCATGAATTTTACTATCTACTTGAAAGATCTGGAAACATGGTGCCAGTCTTCCCAAGTTCAATTTTGATATTCTCTGGCCCAGGTGACATAATAACCAATGGCATGGTACTAATAATGGTACCCATGTTGGTTAACAATAGCAAAATTCTATGGAATCCTTCATATGCTTTACAGTGCATTTGCTGATAGATTTAGCAGTACCAGCATTGAATTGGGATGTTATTTGATGCAATATTCACCTTTGATAGTTTGGGAGGTTACTACCTTTGTCAATCACCAGTAGCTTAATTTTTGCATTACCTGGCAGAACCAATAGTTTTCTTGTGCTGTTGATGTTTGTCCAGAATTCATATCTCTAGTATGCTTTTTCTATTAAAAAAAATATCACTTTAAAGGTAGTGCTACATTTTTTGTAAAAGTTTTTTTTTTTTTTATTATTTCAGCTCAAGCAAGGCAAAAAAGCCACTGAGACATAGGGGTGGGGTATTGAGTGTGAAGAATATAAGAAAAAGAAAATATTATTAAAGGTCTAGAACAATAAAAGAACAGAAATTAGAAAGGTTTTGTCAGTATTTTTATTATGTATTTTTTATGTTATATCAAAATATATTCTTTTTATTTTATATAATTTTATATTATATCAAATGCTGTAAGGTATCAATTTATTTTGATATAACTGTCAGTCTGGTAAAACTACACTTCTCTCTTTTTTTGTTCATTCTCATTGTTGATCAGATTACATTTCACAGACTCATTTATAATGAAAAAGCCTATAAATATAGCTTGCTTTTATTCAGCTGGATGGTGTTAAAATATACAATGTATAAATAAAGTAACAACAATATTTGAAATCAAAAATAGAAGAAAATAAAAAGAATTAAAAAGAAAAACTAAGAATAAAAAAAGAAAAGAAAAGGAAATTCTCTTAAGAAGTAGTGACCCACTCACAGAAACAATTGTTAAGTAGCAAATGTAATTGATTGATTCATTAATTTTCTATGGTTTACTGACTCTGCAGATTATTCAAAACCAGAAAATATTTTTAGATTGTAAGAATTGTTTTTTATTTAGTGATACAGGTCTTACTAATTAACCCATAGCTAGGGAGGAAAGTGGATTCATTTCTTTCCCGAGGGTATTTGCGTGTAAGTGAATATAACAAACCCAATGGTAATTAGAACTCTGCTATCCAATTAATGATTCTGAGCCATTATCCATTACACTACCTGCAAATCCAAGCTTACAGCACCCGGTATTTCCAAGTGGTCACCCATCTAGGTTCTGACCAGATTCGATGTTGCTTAACTTTAGCGATCGTATGCGAACCAGTGTTTCAATCTGATGTAGCCATTAACCCCCAATATCAGGATTGGGTTCTCATCATCAAGATTTTAGGAATCTTTCTTTATTGATGGAAATATATTGGGTGAAAACTACTTAAATATTGCTTTTGTCCACAATTGTCCAAAAAGGCAATAAAAATCACAAAGATGCAAGGGGTTGATGAGAGTGAAAGAAACAGAGGACAAGAAAATAACAAAATTGAAGGAAAATGAAGATTACAGTTGACATTGCATTTAAATTTTTGAAGATCGTAGTTAACAGGAAAGCAGGAAGTTCAAAGAGTTCCACATGCAAGAAGTGTGGGAGAAGAAACCATTAGCATAGAACTTATGGTTACAAGTAGCAATTTTAAAAGTGAAATTGAGACCTAGCTGCCAATCTAATACTGTGCTAATACTTTGTGAAGTCTAGGTAACAACAAGGAAAGCTCATCAGAACAACTACCATAAAAATAGTGATAGAAAAGGCAAAGGGAAGCTATGTTACATTGGTGGGAAAGTGAGTGATGCTGAGATGCCAGGTCAAGATCAGTAACAATGCATATTCTTCTTTGAATTTTATTGAGAATCTCTAAAGGTATAGCAGAAGCATCAGACTAGATGAGGCAACAATATTCAATGCATGGACAAATGGTATATTCATAAATGTACAAGATATATTCTGTTAAGAAAAATTGCTTAGAACAACATAGTAAGCAGCAGACTTAGCAATTGATTCAATATAATATCAGTGGAAAAATGTAAGCCCAAGAAGATGCAATAAGTTACTCTCCTGGAGGTTAGCATCAGCCATGCTGATGGAAAGTAAAAAAGGTTCTTTAAGATGATTGATAAAGAGAAGTTTCATTTTAGAGGTCTTTGCAATCAATAGTCTAGACACCTGCACAATACTCATGCTGTCAAACTGTTTTTGCATAGAAAATATCTTCATCGGTGACTTGGGTGAGTGGAACCATTGATTTGGGCAATATCACACTTCCACACACCTATGATTTCTAGTAAGCTGTAAATGATTTTATCTGAGTCTAGTGTTTTATGACCAACAGTAAAGTCTAAATGCAAGATCTTCAAGGCAAAACTGTCCAAAAAGAGGAAAAGGGAAATAGAATCTTACTTATTATAAAACGCAGATTGTGTGTGTGTGTGTCTGTACGTTTATATATGGGATCATATTTCCTACATTTTTCAACCAATTTCAACAAAACTTCACAGGACTACGTAAAATTGCCTGGCGGTGATTCTGACAGCACCAAAAATTGGAAAAACAATTGTTTTTGCATGAAATCAATTTGAAAACATGAGTAAGAGGCATTAATGAAAGGGGGACAACTCGTATCGAGTTATACTTATTAAAAAACCCGGGTTGGTTGTTTGTGTGTGTTCATTTATATATGGGATCGGATTTCCTACATTTTTTCAACCGATTTCAACAAAAATTCACTTTTTTTTTTTTTTTTTTTTTTTTTGGCAGGTAGTGTTTCTTATTGTCTTGCACACTTTTTTTCTTTATTTTTACATTCAGAATGCTTTAAAAATTCCATTTACAAGACAATTGTTTATAATAAAATTCTATTCAACCAGTAGACTCATAATGATTGAAAACAATGTTTTAGTTTGGGTTTGACCAATTCGTAAAAAAAAAAAAAAAAAAAAAACCCAACTAATTAAGACATGCATGTCCGTCAACCTTAAACAATAATCTTTGTCAAATTTATTTTTCAGTCTTTATGATGGTTGATACTTGATCTATCTCTTACTGTTACATCCCCGGGCAACGCCGGGCTCTACTGCTAGTAAATAAATAAATAAAAACTTTTGGGATCATGTGCCACTTGACTGAAAAGTAGGGAGTTTCAGTTGTAGATTTATATAGGAAGGGTCACAGAGTAAGTCAGAAGCTGGCTGACAAGCTGTTGGTCAGAGATGTAAAGAGTTGGAGTCATAGGAGCAATACGGAAAGACTAGCTGTCACAATTAAGATATCATGAGATAGATGAGCAGTCAGTTCCTTCTGGATGAAGCTAAGATCTGGTCCATTCAAGAAAGAAGTAGCAGCAAAGATGTCACAAGGGCCAGGTGAATCTGTAAATAAATAAACTTTATATAACAAAAACAGGATTAGTGTTTTCTGTTCTTATCATGGTGATGTTTTGACTTCCATTCCCTTGTACACCAGGACTTTCTAAGGTTTTCTTCACATTGGTTTTTTGTCAGTGTTGTGTGATTTATCCAGTCATTGAAAGACTGAATTGCTATAACTGTTCTTTGGAAAGGTATTGGTTTCCTCTTGCCTTCATCATTGTTTTAAATTCAGAATTGTCCTAAACTGGTTGCCCAAAGCTGGAGAGCCTAGTGTTCTCTACTATTTTACTCATAATTGGTAGGGGAAGAGATGAATATATGCCTTTCTAAATAGCATTAGTGATTCAGTTTTCTGTACTGATAACTGTTCCACTAACTTCACATCCACTAATAAATATGATATATAAAAATACATTGTGCATGTAAACAGAGATGCTTGTAATAAAACTACTCTGAATTATTATGGATTTCTGAAAATTAAAAATGGTAATACTGTATTATCAATATTGAAACACTTTATATAGACTCAGTTGTTTCAGGTTGACTGCCTTTGTGACAAAGTAGAGAACCTTTTTTTCATTAGTTTCTACCCAAAGTTAACAGCTATAATTTTAAAGTATGGAAGCCACAAAAGAAAAAAAAATGAATTTCCTTTTTTTTTTTTTTTTCATTGTCTGGAAATTCAGTTCCTGATGTTAGTTTAGGGTAATATTATAACAGCAATCTGGTGAATTAAAACATTTTCACCTTTCTTTCAAATGTTCGGTTTTGGATATCTTTTCAGATGGGTTCCAGATCAATCAAGATGTCAGAATTTTGTTGTTTGAATTGATAAAGTTTTTTTTCATTAGTTCTTCCCAGCACCACAGAGTTGTGACTTTTGTTTTTGTGGTGGGACACAGCATTTGGGGTCTTTTTCGGAACTTAAACTTTTTTTTTTTTTTTTTGACTTCTGTATTTTAAAATTATAGAAAAGACACCAAAGTTGATTGTATTGTGATCTGAAACATATGATGAAAATGCAAAATTGTTTCATATTTAATGATAAACCAAGGACATGGCCTAGTGGATAAAAGTGTTGGTGTCCAGTGAATTGACCCAAAAGAGTTAGGAGTTCAATACCTGGCCACAGTATAGGGGAAAACAAAAAAAAAACCTTGCAGAGTTGAGTTACTAAAGGGAAATAACTGAAACTGATATCCAGAAAGGCATGGCATGTGGAACTCAATCAATCTATCTGCATGGCCTAAATAAAGGGTTTGCTTCGAAATTCTAATGTATATCAGCTGAAGAATGCCAGAGGGTAATGGCCAAAACATTATGAATATGACAATAAAGATGAGGCCAGCAGTCTGAACAACGTAAATAGTTACAATATCTCATCTCATCTCAGAAACATAGACATTTAATGATAAAATAGAAAATTGATGAAACAGTTTTTTGTAAGTTCTTTGTCAGTTGTGTTTTGTCAAATGTGAAGTGTTAAAATATAATCAATTTCATAATGTAATAAATTTAGTAAACATATTCAATTATCTTTTTATATTATTTACTACATGAGTTTGATTACAATTTAGATATTTTTAAGATGTGTGTAGAAAAAAAAAGGATTATGCTTCAATTTTAGTTTGAACATAACAGATCACTTTGATCAGAATTAAATCAGTATTGAATAATGACATTTTTGTTTTTCTGTATTCTGAAAATTTAAAGATGACAGCAATAGAGTAGAAGACAGAATAGATGTTATGCTCAAATAATCCGATCAGTAGGCCTAGAGTAGATGTAGATTCTGTATAGAATTAAAAAGAGCAAACATTAGGTTTAATAAAATGCATGAGTGCCAAATAAGATGTGGCCTAGAGTGTAAAAGAACTGTCAAAAACTTATCTGGTTCTCTGGGAGTTAAGTTCTATATGTGCCAGCTTAGTGGGGAGATAATTATTGTAATTACAGAAAATTGATGCATATAAAGGGTGTTTCATTAAGATGGATCAAAGTCAGCAGTAAATAAATCAGTGCTATTGATGAAAATTTACTTATTTCTCTATTGGCTCATGTTATTTAAGTTGTGGCAATTATGTGTGAAAAATAATATCGCCCAAATGCCTGCCAAATCTAAAAGAAAAAAAAAATCATTAGATGCTTAAACTTAATTCACATTTAAAATTGATCTGGGTTATTGGAACACCCTTTACATTCTGAAATTCTAAAAAGTGAACCTTTTTACGTAACTGGTAATAAATGAGAACACTATGCACACCCTGGAACAAATAAAGGGTTCTGTTTCACCTTTCTGGAAGGTTGAGTATGATGAATACCTAAAGAAGGCCAGAGTTTACAACAACCACAAGGTTGCCAAAAAGAATTATGTAATTATAAAATATATCTGTATCATAAATGATAGCAGTATTTAAGTAATTTTGCAAAAACTCTATTGTCACTTGTAAGAAATAATACTACTTTTTAAATTATTAAACAAAAATATCCAAAGAAAATTGGCTTGAAACAAAAGAAATAAAAAGCAATGTATTAGCAGCCTGTTTTCATTGCTGTACTCTCTAGTGCAGGGGTTCCCAAACCCATGGTCACAACCCTATTAAGGGTTGTGAGAGTTTTTCCAAGTGTCACAGATGGTCTCATAAAAATATGTAACTTATAATATTTTATTACCATACAGAGATGGTTTTGAAATATGGTTTTACTGAGATGAGAGAACAATCTGGAAACATTTAACCCCAGTGCATTCATTGCCTGCAAGTCCTTGCCAATGAATCTATGAAAAAAAATAAATTAAAACATCATCTGTACTCAGTTCATCCAAAGCTTGTTGAAAAACCTTTGAGTTACTGGAAAGATAAGGAAGAACTGGCAAAACTAAGAAGGATTGATACTCCTTCGAGTTCAACTTTTTCTAATGAGAA